GCACAATAAGGATTAAAAGAGAGATATAACAAATCATGTATGACATTTTAATTTCTTTATATAGTAGACTCCCGAGAAAAAAGTTCATATATAGATTTTGCCCATATATGATCATATATGATCATATATATAATTATATATATATCCACACTGAGAAAAAATGCTATTGTAAAGATACAATTGAAGTAAATTTATTATGTTGCTTATGTTTTAATGCTTATGTTTATGGTAACCCATGATGTTGACATTTAATTGAATCAAATTAAACCTTTTCTCTTTTTTTTCATGTAGTTTTTCTTTTTTCATTCAGCACTATTTGTTTTATATATACAATTATATATGACATGTACAATATTATATATATATGATTATATATGATTATATATGATTATATATGATTATATATAAGATTACATATATAAACAAAAAAATTCATATATAATTATATATAGACATATATAATTATATATAGACATATATATGTTGTAATGCTTATGTTTATGGTAACCCATGATGTTGACGTTTAATTGAATCAAATTAAATCTTTTCTCCTTTTTTTCATGCAATTTTTCTTTTTTCATTCAGCACTATTTGTTTTATATATAATTATATAACATGTACAATATTATATATATTTATATATAAGATTACATATATAAACAAAAAAATTCATATATAATTATATATAGACATATATATTTTTATATGATTATATATGAACCTTTTCTCCAAGGTAGTATTTACATCAATATATTTCTTTGAACGACATCCATAGATTATTCATTGTCTACATAGATGACATCTCATATATATTTTACGTTATCTACATATAGATGTAGAGTTTTATAATTTACGTAATGCTCGCATAGAAAACAGTTTCATAAATTACGTACTGAATTATCGATCGAGCGCACGCTCATTACCGTCATTTTCTCCGCCGTTAAATCTAAATCTGCGCCGGAGAAGTTTTTGCGACGCATACTTCTTGAACAATAAGGTGTTATGTAAATTCCATTGTTTTTCAATTGGGTACAAACCGATCGACACCGGATACGCACATCCCCTCTGAACTGTAAGTCGCAACTTACGCAATGCTCAATCGCCCGTCGATATACGGAAAAAAAATATTGTTGTATCAATAGTATTAGTCAATAGAGTAATATTTGCAGGAAATCTTCATTCAATAGCGATATTATTGAAACTAACACTTCAGTTATTAAACCAACGGAATAACAACGTATTATAGTTCCAATAATATTGCTATTGAATCAAGAAGTCTACTTATTAATTTTTCATATGGCTGCTCACCATATTGTTACATTTTTCCGTGTACACGGAGTATGTTAGTAAAAATTACGTTAAAATTATATTTCTTCTTACAATATTTTTGGACTACTGTTTTTCGGAAAAGTGGACTAAACTGAAATCGTAATATTGGATAAGTTAATATATGGATAAGTTAATAATTTGATAAATTAATATAATATAATAAATATGATATTTTTTAAACTAAAATATAAAGCTAAAACTTAAAGCTAATGATTTATCAAATTAACTTAGTTAAGTTAAAAGGTATTATTTTTTATTCTCTTTATTCTACAATGTAAATAGCACGCAATAATTTTAATACTAATAAATTATTTTAACTTGTAAAAAAAGTTAACAAGTTAAAATTAACACGTTTTATATGTAACAACAAATTTAAGTTTAAAATTAACTCATTTAAAAATAGTTAAGTTAAAAATTATTAACTTTTTAATTTATTAACTTCTAACTGATTAACTAATTATTACCCAACTCTGTGTGTAAATTATTATAAAAATAATAAACTTAACAATCTACCGAATATGCGATATAAAAAACATTCAAGTAATTACATATTGTACAGTAATTAAATATTGTAACAAAAAGTCAAAGTGTGACATTTTTAAATAAACATATCGGCCATAATTTCTATAAGGTTAAAGATTACAAAAATTTTTTTGCAATATTTTCTCCATGTGCGACTTAGCGATCCACCAAGAAGTGCGCTGTCTAATTCTCGTGTTTAATATGCGGTATTAAGTGCAAAACTTTATTTCATACTGTGGTTCTTTCTTCGCAATTTGCTCGCCTAACGCGAATAGTAGTTGTCGCGAAGTATTGATAAGATTAATAAATGGTAGAACGACTGCTGTCACGCTCGAGCGGAATGTAATTGTATGATTAATCGACAGAAATAAATCCAGAATTTTTATTCAACGTAAATCAATCGAGAGTTAATTAGATAATGCGCGCGTCAATACGCTCGACAGGAGATGGCGTGTCAATACGAAAAATACACGTCGCCATGAAATAGCAGAATGTGCAATTTTATATATTGCAATAAATGGCAACGTCACACGAAGATGAATGATGTTGAAACGCAGAAATGGTTTATTCCCCTATTTTATCACGCGGCCAATACAAGAGAGCATCGTTACTCCCGTATTCGGACAGCAACATTTATTTCATGTTGTAACGAGCAATATCGTTTCATCTACATCCTATCAATGACACGAGAGAATTTTTAATCTATACATCACGCGTTCAGCGGTTCTCAAAGTGTTTTCTTTTTTGTCTTCTTAAACAAAACGCATTGCCAAGTGTTATTTGCCTCTCTTTTATCGAATATTTAGAACGCTATTCACTTACGAGAGTCGTTTGTTACGATTGTTCTTTTTTTATAAAAACGCTTAATTTATTAAAATTATTGAAAAAATAATTTTGCAATAACATTAGCAAGATAAAATTCATATATATCATAATACGTAATGATTTTTAATTTTAAAAGTTATTAAAAATTTAAAAAGTGATAAAATAAAAGTAAAAATGTACTCGCTATTATATCTGATAAATGATCAATTTCATTTAATTTGAATTGCAAATGCACAGATGTCATGTTTCAAAATGAATAATAAATATAGAAATAAATTATGAGATTATATTACATTACATTATATTATATTATATTATGAGATTATATCAAATCTGGCGATAACTTATCATGTATGAGATGTATTGCCATGTTTCCACTCATTTATTATTATTTTCATTAATATACTTTAATGTTTATCTTATTATTATATTTTTTTTAAACTTCTGTTTTATACACAAATATGTCAAATTAGAAGAAATTTGCCATATTATAGAGGTTATACATATGCTTATGCAATGTAATCTTACAATCAAATGTCTCGAAAAAATGATTCGAAACGAATTTTACAGTAAAAATTATTGAAATTTCTGTTACACATTGTTAGCTCGTAATTAACTTTTGTATCATGTACATATTATAGATTTATCTTATATTTAGTCGAGAGGGCCAGAATCTTCCTGAAATCTCCCCTTTTGTTCTAACAATCAATAATTTATTGTAAATTAACCTGAATAGAAATAGGCGAAGAAATAGATTAATTGTAAGTCTCGTTAATGAATTGTATGTCTCGTTAATTTACGACAAATTGACTGTTAGAGCAAAAGGGAAGCACGGAATATCTTACAAATTTGTTTAATCGATTGCAAGTGTTACTTTATGAATATATATTTTTATTTCAACGTATTTCGCAAGAATTTTTAGCATGCATTTTCTCGCTTCTGACGTCATTAAAAAAAGATAAACAATGCGAGGGGACAGAAGTCTTAAATTGCTCTTCAATTAATAGGGTACAAAGACTAGAAGATAAGAAGAATAAAAATATGTTCTTTCGCGGCGAGCGTTTGAAATCAATTCGTCAACAGTGCGATCGCATTTCACTATTTCACTTTGTTGCGCAAAACATTTGGTTATCAACGTGACCTGCGGAACACCGTACTCGGAGTAGCTGCTCCGCGACGCGTACTCTACTTCGACGAAGCTCCGCCAGATAGCGCCTCGTTCTCCGTTCTCCGTCTTTGAACAAAAAAATCATCGAGCCTTTGTTCCGCAATGCAATTCGATTCTCTAGGCGAGATCTCTACTCGCGAGATAATTCATGAATCATCGCGCGAACGAAACGAAACGAACGAACAAAAGCTCCTGGAGGCACTCGAATAATTCAAATAATCCTCGATAAAAAAGTTCTGCCTTCCGAATAACACGATGTGTGCGCGCCGATAACGCGTTTTATCGTCATCCGTCCGGATCGTAAGATGGAACATCGTGATCGTGTTTTATCTGCGACCAATTGGCACAGGGTACACTTATCGGCCGATAATAGCATGCATCGCGACCGCGGTAGAGTTAAGATAGAAAAAAAACAATTTCCAAAGAAAGTACTCGGCGAGAGGCGGCGGTTCAGTTGCCCGGGGCAAACACGATCGTGCCTGTCGTGCTGTCCAGATGGAAGAGATTATTTCGGAGAAATCCTCCACTCCGAGGTTCGACCGCAATTCTTTCTCTTTCTATGCGTCTCCGCAGAGAAGGAGAGTGCTCAAACCACGATTAAATCACGGTCAAATTTAGCCCAATATAAACATCAACTAACAATAACCTTATATCGATGTTACAATCTTCTATTCAGCAATGAAAGTGCAACAGAACGCACGCATATGACACACAGTCACATATCTGAGTGAGAAATTATAACATCGATATAATGTCATTGCTGATTAATGTTTACTGGGAATCTCGACGTCGGAGGAAACTGCCGCTGCGACACGGAGAGAAGGACGTTGCCGTTCAATGAATGGAGTCTCATCTTGGTTTCGGAACGCTGCGCGTTCTCTACTTCTTCTTACCTTCTTTTCCAATTTTTCGCTATGTGGTCCTGCGTCTCATTTTTCTTTCTTTGCTCCGTGCCTCTCGTACCTTTGACTAACCCTCACGTCACAATGACGTCGCCTTTTACCGCCCTCCTGCAGCCGGCCTCGACAACATCCGCGCGCGTCTGTCTCCTTTCGTCCTGCCTCGTGTCGTTCGCTCGCTCTCGCTCTCGCTTTCGCCTACGGCAAGGCAACGTGGCGTCGCGGTTATAAAAGCCGCCGCACACGGCGCGGCGCGCATCAGTCGTTCAGTTACCGTGTGCGTTAGTAGAGTCTCAACGAAGGGAGCGATTTCACAACACTTGTACACACACACGCGCGCACGACACAAACGAAGCGTTGAACTGATCGTGAGAAGAGAAACGCGGAGAACAGAGCGGAAGCAGAGCGAGAGGGTGGTGCAGCAGGCGCGACGACGATCTCCGCGCGTCTTCGAGATCGCGGTCGCATGGCATTCGGCTCATCAGGACGGCGGTGGCCTCGTACGTGCGTCGTCACGGCGGTATGAGATAGCACGACGAGCGCGAGCTGGTCGACGAAGTGGCGGCGAGGACGACGACGACGACGTCCTGATTCCAAGCGTCCGCGCTCAGTCCTCAGTGTAGGCTAGCCGGTCGCTCGGCGGTCGTTGTCTCTACATCGACATCGCGACATAACGCAACATAACAGAGAGATTCTCCTCCGGACGAGTGCGCGACACGCGGCCGAATGTCCACGTTGACGACAGGACCGATGTATCGGAAACTCCTTCTCTCCGCTTGCGCGTAATCTAGGCAGCGACACATGTCTTCGAGCACGTCGTCGTGATAACATCGTCTTCCACGAGGTGTGCGCACTGTACTAGTCCCGACAAGCAGGATCCGCTGTCGTTGTAACGCTGAAGACAACGAGGTTATCTACAGCTAAGAGCGAACTCTCCGTCTCTCTTTCTTTCTCAGACTGACGGGCCATCTCCGTCGACGAAAGGCGATCGTCACCAGATTCCTCGCCATTAACAGCGGCGGTCGCGTGTTAGCCGTTGTGAATCGCGTGTGATAGACGCGATTTTGACAGGAGGCTCGGTGCAGCACGCGACAACAAACATGGCGGCCGCGGTAGCGGACGCGTGCATCGACTGCAACTGTACGGACGTGCTCGACACCCTGCACGACGTTTACGAGGGGCTGGACACGACGTGGCCGTGGCACGATCTCGATCTCTTCGTTTATCGGCCATGGGTGTTCTCGTTGTTGGGCAGCACCATGGTCGGCCTCACGGGTATCTTCCCCTTGTGGCTCGTCCCCATACAAGACGGCGTTGATCTGAAAACCGGCGGTAAGTCGTGTCTCACTCTTTATTTGCCTTGATCTCGCCCGCTACGGTCACGTTGTGTCAATTAATCATATGGCATGAATGAATTGTCGCCGAATCAAGAGTGAATAGAGCCGGTAAGAGCCAACGTGAGATATCAGTTGCAGACACCAAAGCAATTATTCAAGACAAACGCTCAGATTTGCTGATACTTTGCTCTTATCGGCTTGCTTGATTTTTCTTGACTGTATTAGATCGATGGCAAAAGTTTATCGCGCTTGTCATGTAAAATACACTGAGAGAAAAAATATTTAAGAAATTGTAAGTATTTCTTATTTATGTGTGTGTGTCTGTGTGTGTGTGTGTGTACATATATATGTATATATATGTATACATAGGTGTGTGTGTGTATTCATATATATATATATATATATATATATATATATATATATATATTTCTTTACTTACATTTAAATTGTTTTATTTAATTAGAGCAAACAATTGCTTTCATGAAAAGCTAAGATTTCCTTAAGGTTTTAAGAAAATGTATATTTTTTTATATGAAAAATATTCTATATTAGCATAAATAAATATGTTATTAGTAACCACCAAATAATTATTTATTATTTTATATTTTTTCTTTCAAAGTAAAAAATTAAATCATCTCCAGTTCCGAGGGATTAATAATTTTTTTAAGTAAAATAAACATCGGCTTGGTATGTTTTTATATCGTTTAATAAAAACATGTCAAATAAAATAAATATGTTTACTAAATAAGATAAAAAATATGAAATTATCCAATTTGGAGGATTAATTATCTTTTAATTACTTAATACGCCCTCTTAAATAAAAGATGTATACACGAATAAAATAAATAACGATTTGGTATCTTATAACGATATTTTGTTATTCTTTTAATATCTAAATATTCTACGAGAATTTAATAAAATAAGAAATTTTTTGCATCAATATTAGATATGCACGAAAGAGTATAAAGTATCGATATTTTGTATCGATACGAATCGGTATTCATGATCGGATCTTATATTTAATAGCGAGATTGAACCTGGGTTAATCGACTCTGGGTTATTAAATCCAAGTTCATTGATCGAATATTTTCGTATAAATTTTGTGATTGGCTAGTGAAAACTTATGACGTCATTAATCGACTCCGAATTGATTGACTCAAGTCTAGTCGAACATGCTGTAAGATCGTCCAGATATTCCCTAGCCAATGAAATGATCCGTACATCATAAAGATAAACTTAAGACGGTCTCAAATATAAGGTTATAAATAGTATCGATACACTAATATATTGATATATTAAAAATTTATCGATATTAGTGAATATCGTTATATCTTGACACGAGTCCTTAAGTTGTTTGTTCGCGTTGTTTGCACTTTTCACACTTAATATCCGTTGTACACGAGCTTCATTTTAGAAAGAACTCTCATTGGATTCCGCTCATCGCGTCTGATATGCAACGGACATTAGGTGTAAAAGTGTCAAAAGTGTAAGCAACGCGAACAAATCTTGTTCTAGCGTATTCGAGTGAATCTGGGTTAGTCGACTCGGGATGAATCTGATTGGTGTATACTCTTAGGCCAGTATTCATAGTCTTGTATTTAAGATCGTTTTAAGTTTATTTTTAGATACCCTGTAGTCAGTGAAATCAACTGTACGTTGGAAGATGAACTTCGGACAATTCTAAATATAAGATCTGAGTAGAATTCCATTTGATGCTGCCAATGTTCCGAAGCGTCGTATAGACTAATCATAGTCATCCATTATACGCTTCAAAACTTTTGTAGCTTCGAGTGGATCGTATTCTATAAATACCGCCCTTAGATTCAGCTAAAATTAAAATAATGTACTAATCAAATTCATAAATTTTTAACAGTTGCAAAACAACTTTTTCTGAACGCAGTCAAATTGTGCTTTGGTTCGTATCGAATTAATTGATATTTAGATTTTTTAATCAATACGCTAAGATAATGAAATTCAAAGTATTGATACAAAATATCGAATATCAAATGATCAATGTCGATATTTCAAAATTGATTCAGATCGGAACGTCGATATGTATATGAGAGCTTGACTGCGTTTCGTAACACGCATATGCACGTATTTATCTACAGTTCCTGTTACGTATATTGTAGATAAATACGCGCATATGCGTGTACGGAACGCAGTCCTTGACAATTCAAGGCTTCTGAATACTCGCTGCAGCCATATTGGATTGTGATGTCAAAAGCGAGAAACGATACTGAAAATTCTTGCATGTCGTTCCCAAACAAAAAGATATTTGTATGAACGATTTGAGATATCTTGAGCACAGTTGTAAAATGCTCCGAAACTATCCTTTTCTCTTAATAGTCAATAAATAGTCGTAAAATGAACGTTGCAAACTCATGAAGAAAAGTAGACTAAAGAGAAAGGTTGCTTGTCACCTTAATTTTACGACTTGCGAGGGAAAAGGATAGTTTTATAGAGGTTTTATAGGGGTATTTTGCAAGTATGCTTGCAAATCAGTAGTGTCCTTTCATACAAATATCTTTTTATTTGGAAATGACACGCAAAAATTTTGAGCGTTCCTTCGCTTCTGACATCATCATCAAAAGTTTCACGGTAAATATTCTAAAGTCTTAATTGTCCGTTGCCGAATTTAATCTATGAAAATTTGCGTAGATAAGTTGAAATAAAGTTTTCTGTTAATACACGTTCGAAATTTTTGCACGCAACTCAATGAGAGCTACAAATTGATTCAACGAAATTCGGAAAATCACATTTCTGAAATATGGTTGAAAAGAATTTTTTGCTCTGCTCAGTTGAATAATTATTTAGATGTTTCATGTAATTGAGTAAAATTCCTCTTTACTTTAACGTAAAAACCGAGCACATCGTCTTGCGATTATCTAGTGGTAGATATGCGATTAATCTCTTATTTCGATTTTATCGTTCGTTGCATAACTCTGACATTCTGTGGAAACGACATATCTCGATTCTAAAGTACGGCAGTTCATTTTTTACTAAGACAAGGAAACATGTTGCGGTGTGTTGCGTCAATCTACTATTTCTTGCTTCATTTTGCGCAAATTCAGTTAACACGATATATTAATTACAGTGTAACTCTCTGTGATATTTTTTTTAAAACAATACGTATATTAAATATACGTAGAATATAATATAATATAATAAAACGTATAAAATATACGTAAATAAAAAAAAAATTTTTGAAACCGAGAAATATATGAAGAACAATTACACAATGAGTTTTTAACATTGATTTGAAAATAATGAAAAACATGACTATTTACAAATGTTTAAGATGTCATACATTTCTGAACATAACATTCTGAACATTTTTATTGTTTCAGTCTTTAAATATGAATATTTTAAACTTTCAACATAAAAAATATATAGTATATATATATATATATATATATATATATAAAGTATATATATTTAATATATATTTATATATTTAATATAAAAATTAATAATAATTATAAATAATACATGTCGGGGGATATTGGTATTTTTATCTTAAATAAAAATACCTGAATATATGAAAACGTGTGCAATTATTAGAAATTTTTATATTCCGATAGGGGAGAACGAGCGGAATATTACAAAGGGCGGTACATGACATCGCACCGAAGCGTCGCGTTATCGTTGTGATTATCATGTGTTTACATAGTCACAACGTAGTCTGGCACATTATCCCGGCGACGTCATTCTTATTTTTCCGAGCAGCGACGAGACTCGCTTGCACAATAATACGGATATAACGGATGATCCCTTTTTGCGTCACGAAAATCGCCAGTCGGCGATAGTTACGACAAAAGCTGCCCTGATAAAAATATATACGTTTTGCGTACACATTTGTCTAGTTATTATCTAATATTAATACATTCTGTCATTGGTAGTTGTAGAAATATTGCGTAGGAACTAAATAAGAATTTGATAGAGCGGTTGAAGCAGTTTCCTGTACAATACGTGGGCTGATTCTCTTTTCAAGACACAATATCTAATATTAACTCAGTTTTATACATTGAAAGAAAAAATATTTGATATTTGTAACTGTAACCATACAGAGAAATAATTACTATAAATTATGGTCACAACCATTTTTTAGTCAATTATACTATAATTGTTAATGATAATGTTGTATATATATATATTACTATACTATCTTCATATTGGAACAATCGAGAGATATGGTTGTAGTCAAATTGAGCCTAAATATTTTTTTATTGTTCTAACAGGAAAATAGTAGTAATAACATGTATATAAATTTATTATCATTAAAATTATAGTACAATTGACTAAAAAATGGTTGTCTTGATCATAATTTATAGTAATTATTTTTCTATATGATTATAGTTACAAATACTAAACATTTTTCTCTCAGTATAATGTGCACTTATATGTTATAATATCTATAGTGAATAAATTTAAAACATATTTTTTTACTTATATTGTTTATTTATATTGTTAAAAAGATTAAAATTGCGTTAACAATGAGTGAATGTATAGAAAAACATAGAGCGAAAGAAAGGGGAATTAGAGGAAATAAGGTATTTGACAATACTAAGTTTTGTGGCAAAGACAACAATCAAGATTAGAAATGCAAGTGAACAAAAGATAAATGGAGTGTATGTTAATAACACAGAATTTCATTGCAATAAAAACACATTAGACTATTCTGATGATAATGATACAAATGGAAACTGCCATAATGGATTTCGTGATAGAAAAATGGATCAAGTGATTTTATTAAAAACTATTTATTCATCCTACCAAGTAATCCTCATTATTTTCTATTATCTTTTACGTTTTGGTAACATTAGTATGCTTCTATAATAAAAGATGGACGCTTCTCGTTTAAAAATAAAAAAACATTGTTTTGTTATTTTACGTTCTTAGAATGTATGAATGTCCTTAGAACGTTTTTAGAACGTGCTTTGAAAATATGTGCTGTATGGATCATAAAAGACCACACCTTTGCAATTCCATCAT